TTGATTTTCCTCCTTGTCACTGCAGAATAAATATGCTTTTATAGCAGATTAATATTTTTGCATGCAAAGCGACAAACCTAAGCATGTTCTGTTCAGGTGAGAGATGCACTTGGATAACAATCTACTTCACTCTCAAAGCTTTGTTTAACAAAGCTTAACCATTTTTTTCAGCAAATCCCAGGGTGCAGCAAGTAACAGATAATGACAGCTATTGACATTTTTGTAACTCACTAGACTCACACAAACAAACACACTCAAATTTAGGACCCAAGAACTCAGTCCTAAGCTATGACTTAGTAGCATAAATACAATGCAAACATCTGAAGCATCCACTAACTTGCTACAAAGCACACCATACATACCCCAGCCCAAGAGGTAGTACCAGTGCAAGCGCTGCTCCTCTGCAAAGACAGCCACCACAATCAGCGTGTGCAGGTAAATGCCTTCACACAGCATCCAGAAGTAGTTGCAGCCCAGCATGTACTGGTGGAAAAACTGCAGCACTTTGCAGCTTACCTGCCAGGCAAATGAGATAATGTCACACACCTGACTAGCATTCCACATCTAAGCAGGCAAAGGTAAATTACAATTCTATGCTATAAGAAAGCAAACTGAAACAGATGCCCGGACCTTGCTGGGTTTGTTTGCCACATATCAGCGACAGGGATTTTAAACTTTATAAATGAGACAAATAAAGCAAAAGGCCTTCACAAAAGAGTAAAAAATTCTATTATAACAGCACTCCAGAAGTAGTCTGCAAAAAAATTCCCTTCAGAAGTCCTTAGTTCCATGTTGTTTAGAACTGCACTTGTTTTTTAGAACAAGCAGCCTGTTCTAGAAGAAGGCTTTGAGAAAGACATAACTTGGAGCTCTAGTTTGGTGATTTCTTTCACTTTACTCAGAATTTTCAAAGACTTGTTCAGCTCCCCTGTGAGTCAGTCACACCTCTAAAAGCAACACCCAGTTCTGAACTCTCTCCTTTGAGAACAAGTGCTGCAGGCAGTGGAGATGAAAAGACATGGAGATAAGTGAGGCTGTGAAGCTGGACAGTGGTTCTTGCCTGTGGCTCAGATGAGAAATTGAGACTTCAAGTTGCTTGGTGAGCAGATGGTGGAACGAAACACCTTGTGTCCATTCACCAGCTGGTGTGGGAGGAGACCACTCCTCCTTTGAGAGGCTCTGATGTCCATCTGCTTCCACCATGTCCCAGTGCCCAGGAGGCCTATGGAGCAGGAGGGTGATGCAGGGATCTCTTCAGGGAGCACCAGTGGCTACATAGACACCTGAGGTGCCCTCAGTGATGGCAAAATGCCAGTTGCCACTTGAACCACAAGAAAATATTCCTTCCCCCTCACTTCTCCAGTTGGTTTCCAAGCTAAATTACCTGGTGTAGAGGCAATGTTTTTGCTAGGACTGACTTGTCTCTGACATTTCAACCATTCAGCGGAAGACTATGTGCCCCGTGTCTGTCTGGAGGACTCACAGTGCCCCTCTGGTACAGAAAAACAGGTTCGATAGTGATTCTGTTGTTGAACAGCGTTCCCAAAGCAATTCACAGAACGTGGGCATTTAGCTTTGTTTCAATATTTGCAATGCAGCTTGTTGCTCTGAAAATAGAAGATCACTGACAGTGCAGCTAAAAGAATTCAGATAGGATTAACTTGAAGGACTTTTTTTTTTTTTTTTTTCCATTTCTTCTGCTTGCCACACAGAGAAAAGCAGTCACATAGTTTTTCCACACTGTGTCTCAACAGTTCCTACAAAGTATGCTGAAAAAGGATAAAAAAAGAAAAAAGAAAAAAAGAAGGATTTGCTGTTTTCAGTGAACTTTCTGAGTGAGGGAGTAACTAACTACATGAACAACGCCAGCTCTTCTGCAACTTTTATCTGTAGCTCAATACTTGAAATACAGAAAGCATACTGCCTGAAGACGAACTATCTTTGTTTCCTGAAGAACAATACATCTAAACTTAATTTGCTTCATTTCCTCAGCATTTCCTTCTTCCCTGTGCCCTCCACATGAACTCGTGGCTTTAAAAATAAAATTAAGCACCTATGTTTTAGAGTAATGGCTATGCAGACAGCTCATGACTCTTTTGAGTAATGTAATCACTTGCTATGCAGTAAGTTACAGACTGCCATTGGCAAGACATGAAGGATGCGTGTGATTAGTACTTGGATCCACATCACATTAATTTGAGAACTAATCTGAAAAAGTTACCGCGAACAGTTTAAGCACAACAATGTATTGCAATGAATTATGCTGAATTCCTATCAATCAAACTACAGTGAAAATCAATCTTCACTTTGGATGAGCTAAAAAATGCAGCAGGCTTCAGCTGTGGTTGAGTGCTGCCATGGAAATATTTTCCTCCCATGAAAAGCGAGTGTTTTTCTTAGATCAGAGCAACCTGTTGCTGATGAGAACTGGATTCATGTGTGGTGTGAATAAAACATGGCAAATGTAGCCACACATCTCAGTGTACATTAGCCTTAGCTGGGAAAACTACAGGACTCTGAAGTTTTGTGAAGTGCTTGTCCTTATAGAAACAAATAAAATGAAATTGCAAGATAATACAGGAGCAAATCTTTGATCACTTCCATGCTTGATAACTTGGAGATTTAAAAAAAAAAAAAAGGTTGGGTGTTTTGTCTTCAGTTGAAGTTAAATACATTTTGATGCAAGCTCTGTCTGTCGTATCTCACACAGTATGCAGCATGGTCAAATCCAGGATTCAAAGGATTATCACAGCACCAATACTGCTGCTACTACCAGTAGGACTCATGATAGAGAGTAAAATGTCATCAGCTCTTGGTCTGTGGGTGTGCACTTAAGCTGCAGGGGAAAAAAGGGGGTCAAATAATAGAACACGGTCAGGCAAGACCAGGTTCTACCTAGCAAATCTTGCAAAGAGTTTTGTAACTCATCTGAACACCTCAGCTGCTATATGAAATGAAAAGTTTCAAAAGGATGCTGGAACCATTTTTTGGAGAAGAAAGAAAAACATCAATCTCCTTTCAGGAGCTAGAACTGGCCTTTGTGATTTTTTTCAGGATTTATTGGTGCATTATAAATACTGCTAACATTCCAGGCTACTAGGAGGGTCCTGAAGTTCTACCTACCTATGCAGGATCGTGCAATTGCATGGCTATGCTGCTGGCATACTGCTCTCCTTGGCTAGGGCACAGCCCCTCCTCACAGATCACAGGATCACAGATTCATGCAATATCTCGAGTTGGAAGGGATCCGTTAGAATCACTGAGTCCAACTCCTGGATCCACACAAGACCACCCAAAAATCAGAGCATATGACTGAGAGCGCTGTCCAAATGCTTATTGAACTGTGGCAGCCTGGGGCCGTGACCACTGCCCTGGAGACCTTGTTCCAGTGCCTGACCACCCGTTGGTGCAGAACCTTTTCCAAATCCCCAGCCTGATCCTCCCTGCTGTTCCCTTTTATTTTGTCCTTCTTTTATTGTGGCGCCCAAAACTGTACACAGTACTCAAGGTCCTTACATGCCATTTCCCTGCTAAACTCTCCCCTATTGGCTGACAGAGAGAAAGCAACAGTGATAATTAATGCAAAATTAAATAAAAACCAGAATACTGCCTTCATGAAAGTAACAAAACATAACATCCACTACTAATTGATTCTGAGCAGGTCTTTCTAGTAATTCAGTCAGAATAAGGCTAAGTTTTAGCAGAGGGAGGGCAACTCGCCCAGATTCCTGTGTCCGTGTTCCTGTGATGCTTCCCCTGTGGCTGAGGGGCCACAGGCTGGAGTTGGGAGCCCTGGGTTTCACAGCCTGCCTTGCCAGCTCCGCAGCGCCTGGCCCATCACCACAGGGGCAGGATGCCTGGCAGTGTGCAAAGTAAAGCCTCTCCTCAATTGTTCTCCATTCACTGAAGTGCCCCAGGCTGACATTTGCAAGCAATAAATTGCTAAGTATAGGCCAAACAAGGTTATTAGTTTTTGGCCAAGCCAGCTACATGGGACATGACTATAGCTGTACATTTCTCTGTTTAAAGGGAAATAAGCATGTCTGCCTTCACTGAAGATCAGTCAGAGTGGGCTCTCTTCATGTCTGCAGAACCCCCCTGTGCACAACAGCTCTTCTAAAGAAGAGTTGTGCTGCTCCCCAACAGAGACCAGACAGGATTTATTCCAACTCAGTTTGAAGGCAATAAAATGCATTCTCAGACATTCTTAGCATGTTTAAGGAGTAACTTGAAGTTTGGTTATTGACCTGCCTTACGCATTTTTTTTTCTGGTTATTAGAATGCTTTTCTATGAAAATATTCTTAAATTCCCAGTATCCATATGTTACACAAATAAGCAATAAAAGGACTTTCCAAAGCAGGACAGTGCTAAGCACTGTAGCTGTAAATCATGGACTATCAGAATGTCATACCATTATACAATATATCTACTGTGAGTCATCCATTAAACTGTGTTCCAGTCAGAAAGCTGGCGCACAGGGACTCAGGCTAAGATTAATGTTTTAATATACTTTTAAACCATTTACAGAACAAAATGTACACAGTTGCTTAGAGGGTTCCTAGGTTTTGTGTTACGAGAAAGCAAAATATGAAATTAAACATTGAGGGATATTTTTAACAGCATCCCTACCTATGCCTACACTGTGAGAAGAAGCCAGCCTGAAATTAGGCATCATGGGCAGTGATTAACACAGCCACATCCATACACCCCAAGCTCCCAGCTGCAGTCACTGTCCTGGGGCTGCAGCCTGGAACCCAGCAGGATAGGGTGGGGGTCCTATGGGGTCCATGTGGTGAACCCAGCACTGCAGTAAGCAGGGAGCAAGGCAGAGCAAGGTACATATCCTTGTGCTTAACTGGTTTCCTCAGCTGAGGCAAATCTCTAGTGGATCCACACACCTTGCACACACAGCCAGCAAGTACTTTGCTATGACAATCTCCTGTGAAAGCCTTAATGGCTTCTCATGGTCATTGTGGCCAGGTAGGAGGACTGCTGGGTTAGATGGTGTCAGCAAGGTGAGTTATTGAACAGCAAGATTTCCCTTCTGGATGCTAGCTGGTCCCATGAGCTTAATGGAGCTGCTAAACATGCTGTATGATAAGAAGGATGTCCAAGGAAACAAAAGCAGGAAATCTGAAGAAAGGTGTTAAATGGGACTGAAGATGCAGAGATTTTGCTGATTTTGGTATCAGCTGTTCTGAGTGCTCACTTCTCACTGCCACAGTGGCAGGACCTGCAGGGTCCACAGACAGTGGAAGTATGTAAAAATGTAGAAGTATGACTGACTTTTCACAGGGACTGTTGAATCTGCAGTTTGGTCTCCATCCATGCTGAGACTGTAGGTCTTCCTGGCCTTTCTTGCAGAAAAGATTCAGGCCCCAAACCTAAGAACAAAGTCTGAGGTCTGAGGCCTTCAGCTGCAGGACCATGATGCATTTTGCAATATAGGATCCTTTCTGAGGGAAACAACACTCATCCTCCCAAGTAAGAGGACACATGTTGGGAAAACACTGCAGAAATAAAATCTGAAGAATCTGATGGAGCCTGCGTTGTTTTGACATGGAAATACCTTGAGTCTGGGCTACATGAAAGCTATTGTCCCCCCTTTTGAGACTCTGCTTTGAGACACTTGAAGCTACTAAGAGATACTGCTTTAAAAGAAGAGAAAACAAATGCAATGTATAATTTCTAAATTATTCCTAAGGAAAGGAAAATGAGGAAATTTGTCCCAAAATAAATATTTAGTCTCTTAAATTGTTTTTTCTTCCCCCCAAAGCCAGCTGTTAATTTGATGGTGTCTTACAATTGAGAAAATAACCAGAATAACTTTGTTGTGGAAGCTCAGATCTTTCTCAGAGGCGGTGGCTGGCTGATTTCAGTCCAGATATAGTTGTTCCATAAAAACCACAAATGTTCTTCACAGGAGTGTAATTTCTGAATGCTGTGAACATCCTTTAATCATCCATACTTCATCTTCTGGGCATGGCACGGCACATCACATTAGTGAATCTGACACCACCAGGATTACACAGTGCTTTGTTTTCTCCATTACTCTGAGAGTTTTGAGGATATAAACAAGAATATAAAGACCTTGGGAAAAAATGATGGGAATTACTGCTCTGTTTCATGCCATTTAAACATTGACAGCTCTGTCTTAAAATGAATGCAGATATTATTCCAGCCTGAAAATTTGTCAGAGTTCTGCATTAATCTCTCTGAATTTCATTGTGGGGAGAAGACTTGATTGTTCTGAGGAGTTTTGAATTTGTATTATACTTCAGAATAGCTTTCAGTCATCTTTTTGGACTTGCACTGGTTGCAGAGATCCCTGTAAGTATTCTACCTGGAAACAGGAGGAAGAAAAAGATGTACTAAGATGAAAACCTCCAGAGATTCTTTAAGAGGGACAGGAAAGTTCTGGAAATAGTTTAATGAAGAATCAATTTAATTTGACAAGAATGGAGCCTCCTGAAGCTCAATCCTGAGCATAACACAGGAAACAATAATAAGGATCAAAGCACATTTATCCTTTGTGGAGCTCCATCCTGCATCTTCCCAAGGGGACTGCTGACAACCATAGGCCACACAGACCAGTATTTTTGCCACTTATCTTCCCTGGTGTAAGTCATGGATCTCTCATTTGAAAACATATATTTTAAAAGCCTTAATCCTACATCAGAAAGAACAGAAAATAGCAAGAAACAAAAACTGTGTGCAATAGTGAGAAGATAACACTGTTGCTGAAATGCTGTGAATCTCCTCTGTATTCTTGGGCTCACATACCCTGTTTATTCCTTTGAGAACAGGGGAAGCCAACAGTGTTGTAACCCCACAAATCACAGTAACTACTTCACAGAGTTATCTTCCTACACAACTCCTTTTTATTTCCACTGTTGTACCATAATAGGGAGGAATGTCTAATATACTTGGGCAGACAAGATTTTCATTTGAACTGGGCAATGGTGAGACTTTTCATAGTGCTCTACTCTACATGACAGTACTATTTTTTTTTAATATTACTACTACCATGACCTTGCTTTACTCATTGTAACGCTAATTTGAAATGCTTGGGAATGGGAGGGGGTTACATGCTGCTGGCCCTGTTAGATGGAGGAAGAACAAGCTGCACCAGCAGGAAGAGTGGCAAACTAGTTCAAAAGCTTTGATGTTTATCTACAGAAGGAGGCAAGAATGGGATTCAGCATTCCATATCCCATGTCTACCTCAGCAAGAGCTAAGCCCACACAAGGCTTCCAGGAGCTTCTAGTGGAGGACTGCTCCTTGCTACGGACTCCATAAAACTGCAGTTGAAATTGAACCTTTCACACCACATAATGTCAGAACTAAGGGAAAAACTGCTACATGGAAGATGAATGGGCTAGAAAATGCCTGGAGAAAGAAAGCAGGTATTCTCTCCACTAGAACAACAAAGTGATAAAAATACAGTAAGATCTCTTGAAGCTTTTCCAGAAGCATTTCTATCTAATTACTGAGACATTACTGATTTGGGTCTCATCTTCAAACACTGTGGTGCCCACAGAGTAGATCAATTATTCAGTTTCAATTATCAGTTTCTCATTAGCAGAGTTATACCCCCAGTCATTAGCTGTGTCTTTCTTTATCTCAATTTCTTTATCTCAAGTATTTGGTATTAAAATTACTAGTCTTGTGAAGTAAGAAAAAATGAAAAATACAGATCTGATATGCAAGACTATATTAAAAGATTAGGCAGCAAGAGTTTTATTTTGTTTCTGGGCTTTTTAACAGAGAACATAATGTGTTGTTCACAGACAACTCTTTTTCTGCAGGTTGTTCTCAAAAAAGAAGACGCACCTTCCTACAAAATCTGTTTAAGTAATAGCATAATTAATACAGTTACTACTTCATATACAAGATGCAAAATAATTATCTTACACGATTTTCAATACATATATACAAGTATTTGTGCACGTGTTCCTGCTCTTTTTGTTCAAATTCCCCAAACCTATTTATTTTTTTTTTTTAATTCTTCTTATATGGCCATCTGGGCTCACATCTTTGTCTTCCATAATTTCAGTTCCAGATAAATCTTATAGAGAAAGAGAGAGGCGGAGAGAGAGAGAGAGAGACAGAGAAAATTAAATAACCAGAAAAGAGGAAAAGAAAAAAGGAAAAATTAGAATTAAGATGTGAAAGGGTTTGAGTTCCCAATTTATATGAGTAGAATAATCAAATCTTTGCAGAAAAATATATGTGAGTAAAGATGCATTATGATATCTCATGGAAATGATACTTTGGATTTTCTCACACACTGTATTCAGATTCAGGGAAAATGTGGGTGTCGTGATGTTGGGGATGAAATTCCTCCTTTGCTTCTCTTGTCTTTTCTCTTGGTTATTTAACAGAACCTTCTTTTTTCTTTGCAAATGATATGGATTTGTTGATATCCTCATAAATATGTATTCACCGTAAGTACTTTTCCCATGACACTGCATATTTAAGATCTGCTGTGAAACTTTAGGCAGAAAAAAAAAAAAAAAAAAAAAAAGCAGGAGCTACTGTGTTGGAAACACATTTATTATTTTGCAGATTAAATACCATCAACTTCACCTCTGAGTGCGGCCATAAATATGAGGTATCTGTGACTCCAAAATTCCTTCCACTCTCTTCAGTATTTCTGTACATATATTTGAGGTAGGAGCCACACACACAAGACTGTCAAGCTCAGAAGACGCACAGGAAGAAAGTAGATAAATGCAGCACATTAGAGGAAGTCACAAGTAGCCATATCAAAATGGACCCAATAAAGCAGAGGATGGAGCAGGTGTAGAAAAATACGAACTATAAAGCCTTCATTTGCTCTGTTAATCAGCACCAAAACCAGAATACACTTTCTAGTGATGTTGGCAGACACGTTGGTTTAGTCTGAACACATTATCTTGCTACCTCCTTTGAGTGCTCTCACTCCATACTTGACTTCAGATCAAAAAACGGAGATCCCAGCTCCTCTTCTCCCCAGATTTGTATCTCAATTCTAGACAGCAGTTCACTGCTGAGTCAAACACATGCAAATTGTATTTGGAAGAAGAAAGTGCAAAATAAGGCCTTTGTTCATCAAAGCAATTAAGTCAGTATGTAGCTGAAGAGGTGAGGCCAGGCCAACTAACTCAGCTATACTCAGCTGTGCCTACCAGTGAAGGGCACTGGCTTGGCCAACTTCCACGTGCTGATTTCTTTGGGATCAGAGTGTATTCATCCACCCAGGCCCTCTCTAGGAGGCCTGGAAGTTGCCTGCAGCTGTGAAGCACTGAGCCACAGGTGACTGCTTATGGCAATTTTATAGTGCCCGTTGCCATTGCAACCAAGGTGGGGGCTTTGTGAGCTGATGCTCAGCACCCCGCTATCTGTCCTGTGGCTATGTGGCTCTAATGAAGCCTCTGAGAGCTTTGTCATTGACTTCATTGGGGTCAAGATTTCACTCCAAAGATGGATCTAGCCCCAAGGCACCGAGCACAGATTTTTAATGAAATTTTAAATGATTTTTAATGAAATTTTATAAGATGAGAGTTCTTTCTGCGGCTCAAATTTTAATTTAAACCACTTCAGATAATTTACTTCTGCTGTCAGGAAGTATCATTCTTAACCCCAAGATAAAGATCTTACTTCCATTTAGGTGCTATACTATGTGCCAGCACTGTATTTTCAAATATCAAGTGCATTTTCACTGCTTCTCTTGCACAGGATATGTACTATACAGTAAGGAGGAACAAAGTATGATGTTTTAATTACTCCTTTGCTGTTCTATTTTTTTAACCTCCAGATGGTCTCCGTGTCCGGTGATCTTTTCTTTAGTCTATATATTTCCTGCTTTAATTAGCTGACTTAACTGGGAGCACATCTGAGAGACACGTGATGGGATAAAATAAGTGCTAATGTTTAATTGCTTTCACAAAATTAGAAGTAGATAAATAGTTGGGGCCATAATTGAAAGACCTTACTAGAAGACAAGGTGATTGGTGTTGTGACAAAACCTAAGAGATTTCAGGCTTGAGCTAATTTTGCATCAGCCAGGGCTGCAGGAGCAAGGCAATGACTCTCAGCATTGTCAGAGCTGGGTAACAGATCTGCCATGCATATTTATCAGCTGAGGGCTGGATCAGGTTGTGCCACTTTCTGATAGGACTGAACCAAGCTATTGCTCTGATTTACCACTTCCTAAGAAAGAACACAGAGAACAGATTTTTGCAGGGGGTTGAAAAAAGCTATATCCCTCTGGATCAGTCTGGAGCAAGTCTGAGGCTTTTCCCTCTTTTACCAAATTCAAAGCTTTTTACTTTTTACAGATGAAAGATCTGAGCACGGTCAGTTCTGAGAATCTGAATGCTTTGTGCCTAGCTATCATTAACTGTTGAATGGGCATGCCTCGTTTTGATGCAGCCATAATAATTTTATTTGAGTGTAAAGATAGAAAGAAGGATACTTACGGGATCCCTTTTCACAAGGCCTGGGTTAGGTACAACGATGATGAGGTGAGCAATGGTAAACATGGAGTTCAGCACGTAAGAAAAAAACAAATTCTTATGCAGTGTTATCCTTTGACAGCTGAGACTCCTGAAAAATATGGAGTACACGTTGTAAATTATTATTTTTGTTCTCAAGTCACTTTAACAAGCTTTTTCTGGCAATAATTTCTCAAGAATGCCTTTTGGCAAGGCGTAATCGGAAAACACATGCCTTGCATTGCAGCCGTAACCTCTGACAAATTTTTTTGTTTTGTTTTTACACCTGTTTAGTACCACACGCTTTTTAGCCATGTTGCAAAGAGCCATCCAGCTACATTCTCATCCCTTGATGCTTTTCTTTATTTCATGGTAATCAAGATATTAAGTGCTGAAGCAGAACCCTGAGAATTGTTAGATGCACAAGTAGCAAAAATTGGGACCATTGCTTGATAAGAAACTATTCCCTGAAGACTCAAATTCTCAAATATTCTGATGAATATTATTTTCTGCTCTAGGAATTGGTGGTGAGAACGTTGTGTAGGAATCCCCTTAAATTTCAGGGGTATTAGGGTTGGTATCCTGCATGCCTCTGACACCAGCTGAAGAGGTTGTTTTCCTGGCCAGAGGGAGCAGCAGCATGGGGGGGTGGAGGGATATCTGCTATTGAGAGTAGCAGAATTTCCCAAGGTTACAAAATTCCTGCACAGCTAAATCATGACTTCAGTTTCCATCTTGAACCATCTGCCCTTTCCAATTCCTACCAAAAACCTCAGGCCAGCCCCTTGGCTACCCCCTGAGCAGAGAACACCTCCGGAGCTGATTACAGAAAAGTGGTCTGAAGCTGATAGATAATGATGTCTGCCCTCACTGATCACTGAAAGAAAGCTGGTGAAACCTGCAGGTAAAGGAACAGCTAAGACAAGCAAATATTGCTTCCTGCTGAGGCATGTAAGTCTTTCACAGTCTGGAGCTGTGCATTGGCTGTGACTTTCAGCTGCTCTGTACATGGAGGTTAACACAGAATGCACTTTTTCTAAAAACAGAGAACTCCTTTCTGCTTATCTGTTTGTTTGCTTCCTTATTTATGTATGTATGTATGTATGTATGTATGTATGTATTTATTTTCCTCCTTGGTGACCTGCCACATATCTTTAAGTTGTTCTTACACCTTTTCTGTGAGCCACTGGATGGAATTCTTCCTTTAGTTTAGATTGCCTTGCTGGCTATGGTCATCATCATCTAGCAATTGTCACTACTTTTGTTTATCTACTTTACCCACCAAGGCATCTTCTTTGTTTCAGGATGTCCATGAGATGGAGGCCCTTGGGGCTAGAATGAAGAGTATCTCTTTATCCTAGTCTAGATCTTGTATTATTTTAGCATTAGCTATTGGCAGCTGTTAAATACCAGATATAGGGCTAGGAGCACCTTCAGTTTGACATCCTGTAGGATAGAATATTGGGGAAAACAGACTGTTCTTTGGACTGACCTATCCTACACTGTGCTCTTGTGCTTATTTTACTTGTATTTGCCCCCATCACAAATTGAGCTTAATATTCTTCTTCTGCTCCTCTGCACTAGAAGTGTTTGTCTGGTCCTGATTCTTTCCTTCTCTCCATTCTCCATCATTACACTTTGTCTATACTACTGGCATCACTTGTCTTGGGACACTACCATCTACAGTTCACCCTCTGTCTTCTTACAGTCCTGATGACACGCATCCCATCCTCAATAAATCAAAATTTGCCCATCCCTTAGAGCAGTCTCTTTGGTAATGATCACATAGATGCAGACCCTTGTCTCTCCAGCTGCCTCTCTATGTGGCTACAACTATAGATAGCCAGTTTTTTGTGATAGTCCCTGCCATATATGTGGACTTCCACTTTCATTCCTGTCATTCCTCACTGCTTTTCTTGGCTTTTCCCAGTCTTACTTCTCTATAAAATTGGACTAACCTTCCAAATATTTTGCTCCATCTGCTGTCCAAGCTTTTTGCCCTGCTTGTCATCATCCTTCCTTCAGTCTCTTAAACTTTTCTTCCTTGATTACAGCTTCATGTTAATGATCCAACAGCATCATGAAGTGTACATTTCTCTATCCTCATTTAATTACCTGACATTTTGTGTTTTCCATCAAAATGGCAACGGAACCTGATTTGGTCTGCCTTGAGAGGAAAACTCCTTTTGCCCAATCTTCTCTTCTTTCTCTCTTTCTCAGCATCTCCCCTTATAATAGAAAGTTTGGCTTGACTAATTTTCAGCTGCACTCATGGTCCAACTTATTATCTTCTATACCTCTGCCTTCCTTTTCCTATTTATCTCTTATCTCATTGAAAATTTGCCAGCAATTCTGCCTGGAAACCCTCTTTTTCAATTCCAATCTTATCCATCTACCCATCTTGCCCTGCACATGAACCTGTGCTCAGCAGTTTGTGACATTCTCTTCCTAGCAAAACCCAGGATCGTTCTCCCTGCTGGTTTTGACAGTCACCACTGGTACTCCTTCTCTGACTCTCTTTCTGGCTCTTTTCCAGATTTCCTAATTATTCCTTAAAGGTGTCTTTGAAAGATGCTCTTCATCCTCCATTCAACTTTCTGTACATTCCCTATTCAGCTTTATTAATCATTATGCAAAAAGGCACGACTAAGCTAATCATCCAGACCTAAAATTCCATCTCTCTTTGTGTCACTATGATTCTATCAGCTGTGTCTCTGACTTTCAGTATCTCCTATGATTTACACATTTGTCTCTTATTTTACTTTTCATCCTATGCTTTCTATACTTCCTTTAACAGAGATAGGACATCCTATTCACACACATGCACCCTTATTTTTGAGTTCCTACCCCCAATTTTCTGTTGCATTTATGATATTGATTCCCAAGGCATTTTTTGCACTATTTTCTTTGCAGTTCTATTCTGTGAATCTGTCACTGTTCTTCAATTGCAGATATTGAGAACACTGATTTTCACACCCAGGCAGTTATTTTCCATCTCCTGGAGACTTGTTTAACTTTCAAACAATTATTTTCATGCTTTCTACCACATCCTCCTTGGAGAAAACTCTCAACGAATTTCTACAACTGATCCTTCCATACATTATCCTTCTTCTATTTCCTGTAAAAGCTTTGCCAACAATGATACTGGCAGGTACATTCACAACATAACATCTACTGTTCTCACGGACCTAAACTTACTGTACTCCTCAGTTATATTTACAAAAATATATTTGTTTTAATAATTAAATGGGAAGTGATTTGGAGTCAGGTGTCCCTTTTTTTTATCATTTAAGACAATGGGGTCTCAGTCTGTAACTATAAAAATACTGGAGTAGTGTTAAGATGCATGTAATTGTTGGGCACACTGCTTTATGAATATTCTGTTTCCTATCATAAATTAATTATCAATGCTCACCAATACTGACTCAATATTTCCTTCCAAAAGTACTGTATCTGGCATCTATGATAATTACGAATTTAGATACTTCAAATTCAAAGGAGAATAACCTTTGGCAGGAAAGACTGCTTATATACAGGAAAAATTTTTGCTCACATTCTGAAACAGAAACCTCTGCGAGCTATTAACTGACATGTCTACGATCAAAGGCTACTGTACAGCTCTGAAACCATCCCTTACATTTGATTGACTGTCTGATTGATAGCTTGCCTTCTATTGAAGGTCAAATAATCTATCACTGCCATATCCAGATGGGAGAAGACAGCTGAAGGTAACAAGACTGCTCCCATACAGCTCTACTCTTACTTCCTTATTATTTTAGTTTGGTTTCTTCTTTGTCCTCTCACCTTGTAGCAATTTGTTTTGATCCCTTTTTCTACTTCTTCCTGTAATATTTGTGTTACAAATTAGTAATTGAAAGGAAAGGATAAGCAGAGGAGGAGGAAAAAGGGAGGCGTACTGCTGTCAGGAAGGCTGGTGTCAGATGAGTCTTTCAGCATGGCCTGGGAATGTCAGGATTGAGCCGTCAGTGATTCAGAACTAACACTGAGTCAACACGAGCCTGCTTTCCTCACTGCAAGGTCCCAGAAGTATAGAATTCCTTTTTGGACCATTTGGGGTAGACATTTTAACCAAATCCTGTCCAAGCAGCCACAAAGAGCTCTGGAGCCTGGCTAGAAGATTTCAGATCCCAGTCTTCTCAGTGCACTACTGTAGCTGTGGTTTTGTGCTCTATTTCTTAGAAGAGATGGAAATTCAGCAGTTCATTAGGCAATCTCTAGTTATCTCTGTACCCCATTAACATGATATCACAGCCACTCATCAAACTGATTCTCTGGAAATTACCAGGATTAATAACCCATATTTTTTATTCACCTACTTTGAGCCTATAATTTTACAGATTCCTATTACAGTTTATGCAAAGTCCAACGTTGCACTTCCTGTTTCATAGGTTTCACACATTACTAAGCATACTCTTTTCCAGACTGTATGGACACCCTGATCTCATCCATGGTGAACTTGTTTAGGGATCAGCAGCAGTTGAAGTAACTGGGCAGAAGATTTACATAACACTATTGAGATAATGTTTACTAGAAGGCACGCAGTCTGAATATATCCATAAGTCTATGAATCCAACCAAAATATAAAAGTCAATCCTATCACATTTCTGCTGTGCTCCAGCTAGTAAAAATTATTTGGAGTCTGTCTGAATTCATTCAGAATATCTAGGTCCCCTTGTTCTCTAACTCATGACTTCTCACCTGAGTTATGGAGTATCTCAACCTCTCTTCTGAAACTACATTCCTTCAGTATTGGTTACTTTATTTTACTCTCATTAAAAATAATTCCATTCTTCTGTTCTGCCTTAGAAACACTGTTTTCTGTTTCTCTTCATTTTCATGTGGAGATACCATTTCTTTACCATCTCCAAGAAGAATTGAGTCCTCTACCAAAAAGATGCTAAAAGTTCAGCTATTCCCTTGATTTTATTGACTGGAATGTATTTGGAATAATTAACCCATAATATTTGACCTGTTAACAGATATATTTCTCAGATTTGTACATGGATTTATCATAAGATATAAGGAGTACATTTTCAGAAAAGACTGCAAAGGTAATATAAATCAAAGTTGAGGCCAGAAACAGGCTAAGGTTCCTCATGTAAAACTTGAGTTAAATAATACAGGGTCTTTGAGACTACAATTGCTTTAAGCTCTGGAACAAGTATTTGGTGTCTCATGGAGCAACTTTCAATGCAGATTGTTAAAGTCAGACAAAGTCAAACTACCCCTTGCTCTCTAGAGGCAGAGGTTCAGCAAGAGCATCTTTTTAACCCCAATTTTCTACAATTACTATATACATTTAAGCAGGAATTTTGTGTTTGCTATGTAATGACGGGTTCGATAAATCTTTGTATTTGTATTTTTGCAGCCAAAACACACATCTTAGAAGTTCAGTTAATGAAGTTGATGGTATCTTACGATCCAGCATGTAAAGCACTTCGTGTTGTACTGAAGTTACTCAGTTATGATGCAACACATTAAATCTATCAGATCCAAGATACTTAAAAAATGCCATTTAGTCTAGACATATAAAACCTCTGCACTACAAGAGTCATACGAAATGTTTATAACTAGATGGCTGTGACAGAATATGCTCTGGGTGTACTTCATTCTGATTACTTGGACTTACTGGTGACAAAACTCCAATGATTACAGAAATACCCTTTGTTTTAAGTTACTGCTACAAGATCAAAGAATAGAAAAAAAAATACCAATTCGTCCCCTTACAGATTTTGAAATTTCAATGTGTGAAAAATTGCATTCAAAAATAGTTTCCACGGAGAATGAATCCTGCTTTTTTTTTAAAACAAAGCACATATAAATTCATGATTTGGCATGAGTGGGAAGGTGTTAATTTAGAAACTGCTCATAATTCACAGTTACTATCTTGGTCACTAAGATTTGAAAAAAAATGAATTTGGTTTATTTGTTATATTTGACTACCGATTTGATAGATTCAAAGGATGGGGGTTTTTTGGCTTTCAGTTTTATAGAAATATCAACCAAATAAAAAGAAATAATAAATTGTGACCTATCTATAAAAGTCACACTCTTTTGTCTGTCTACTAGGAAGGTAATTAAGTACATCTGGAAGTATTCTATGCTTTTGGATTACATATATGCCTTTGAGCTTCTGAAATAGATTGATGGCTACACAAAAGAATATCAGATAACTTTCTATGAGAATGATGATAAAGAAGTGAAAAATTGTATTTTGAATGCTCATCAATGACTTGAAAAAAGCTTAGTGCTACTTTAACACAGGCCTATTTGTGTTCTGACATAATCAACAACTTCAGCTTCAAATATTTTCTTGCAGGTTCCAAAAAATATACTCTTTATAATAACAACAGTGATGGACTTCAATTGCTATGGGTTACCATTATTGCATAATTTCTTCATTGCATTCTTTCTTCATCCCTGCATAGAAGATTGTGAAAAAAAGTTTGTATCCAATCAACTCAGAAAACTTCTCTTGTCCTTTCAGACTACCTTACAGCTATCTTCAGATACATTCTGCATCTGGACTCCAGTTTCTGAAGTCCCAGAGGCTTGCAGTTTACAGTAATCTTAAATTGACACACCTTAAGAAGATTGCTTAAAAGCTTGGAGAAGAATATATGTTATACAAGTCAGCATAGCTCTGGATGTACAGTAGCTCACGGCAGTTATTCTCTAATATATTTTCTCCACAGTAATCTCCCTGTATCATGTTTACACTGCTACTGAGAAATCCTCTTTGGCTAGAGTATGGTTTAGATATGTCTACATACCTCAGCTTTTCATGTGATTTGACAGTAAAGAAACAAATGGAGCCCTTAATCAGCTAGAAATGTACTGGCATTGGTGTCTTCTAGTTATCATCAGTTCCCTGAAGTGAAACCAGAAGATTGTTCCCAGACAGCCCCTCGCTACTGATAATGTCTGAAACTCTGACTAAATGTCTGAGAGCAAATCTGAGCTTCTACTGCTCCCTCACCGCTGTAATAAGCAGTGTGCAGACAGGTTCACTAAAGTACAAGACTGAAATGCATAGCTAAACTCTATAGCGTAGTTGCAACACTTTCAGTGAATATCAATTTAGTCTCCTTGAAAGTTCTGATATAAACCAGCACTGTTTTTCCTTTCAATGAAAATGACAGGCTGGACACTAGTGTTAGATGCATCCCTAGTGATGAGTTCTGTAAGCACCTACACATGTCATGTCAACAGATCAGTCCCTCAGCAACTGATGAGGGTATTCCTGTCCTTGAAGCTGGGAGGCTTCAAATCACTCCACATGAAGTCACTGCTACTTCTACGGGCTGGACATACCCTCCAAGGAATAACAGGCAACTGCTAAATGAAAGGCCTTAACCAGATTTCCAGTTACACTATTTCCCTATGGATGGCACTTTTACACCACTTTTGAATAATCTAACATCATAATTTTGGCTGCACACCATTGGAAGATGTCCCAGTGGCAAGAGAACCCTGTGCTGATGCTTTTTGTCCAATCAGTATCATATAAAAAGGCACTCAGAATTGCTGGCCATGTTCCCTTCCAAGCTTTTCTTTAGTTACAATATGAGATCCCTCATGGAAAGAAGAGAGAGTGTTTGTAAGAAACACTTACTTGAAATAGAAGAAAATTGCCAAGGAAATCAACAGGGATGTTATAGACAAAGCATGGCCAACGATCGCCATATAATAAAGTATGAACGCCATCTGAAATTTAACAAAAAGAAAAGGCAAATATGAACAATTTGCAGGCACCCATTATCTTTTCTCATTGAGGAAGAATCTACAAAATCAATCTATATTGTATTTCTTTTCTTTCACAGTTTCTTTTGCAATATTCTTTTAATAGCAGCATTACATTACATAGTGTAACACAAAGTCTACATACAAGATAAGTGTTTCTTACATAAGTTGATCTTTTTTTCTGCTGCACTGGACTCACTGGTAAAATCTTTGCCTAAACTATGCATAAGTAAGTTTCCCAAGCTCTAAGAGAGAACAGCAGACACAATACATATGGATTTTCAAAAAGACCATGGCAAGTTTCTACTCTAAACAAATATTGAACAGGATTGGAAGAAAGGCTTTATAGTCCAAAAGACGTTTAAGCAGCAGGGAATAAAAGCTTAATGGTCACTTTTGGATGGAGACAAGTCAGTTAGGTGACCTCGGGAAAGGTATCAGGGCTGGCTTTTTGTTCTGTGTATTCATTAATGATGTGAAGACTGCTTCCAGATCATACTTTGCTCTTCTAGAGAATAGTAACAGACTCTTCACATAACTAAGAGAGAGGACAAAAAGATACCATGTGAACTTCAACAAAGACAAAAGCAGGGACAAGTGGTATAAGCCCTGCCTACAAAATGCTAAACTTCAAACTGACAACCAAATTCAGGACCAAGATCTTGGAGTAATCATGGCCAGGTCTCTGAATTGCTGGCTCAATCTGTAGTGTTAGCTGAAGAGTCAAGAAAACATCAGAGATAACAGGAACAGTCCTGGAGGTAGAACATCCTGTCGTCTCTGTTTAAAACTTACAACAGACATCTTTCTGGCCTCCTCATCTCAAGAAAGACACAGTAGAGCTGGAAAAGGTGAAAAAAAGACAACTAAAATAACTGAGGAGGTAGAATGGCTGTGTTATGACACATGGGTGCAAATTCCAGGATTCTCCAAATGGAGAGGACAAGTCATTGATGGCTTATGACTAAGGTTCAAGAAGTCATGAAAGCAGTAGATGAGGTGAAAACTATTCAGAAGCTCCAACTACATTGCAACAAGACACCTCATGGCAATTCCAGTAGCGACACTAAAGTCAACCTCCCTGTTGGGCAGCTAGCTAGTCTTGTTATCACTGTAAAAACAGTGTGCATGAACAGATAACCAGGAGTTCACTTTACTAATATCGTCAACATCTACAATAGGCCTATCCATATTTCGTGTGCCAACAGTGAAGCAAAATCATGGGACAGCACCTTGGCATCAGAATACTGCAGTATTTAAATGCCATACAGTGGTCTCAGCCAAGCTCTTAACCATCATCTAGCTGTCAGAATACTGTGGGAGGCTAACGGCGTGTCAACCTCCAGTGTTCCATTTTTTCTGAAAGCACTAATATAATATCAGCCTGTCCTGAAAAATGACTAGATAGCAGGCTCTTCTGCTGGGTTTGTTTTCACCTCTACTTCATTTTTCTTTTGTCATGCATGGGCAATTTTCCTTTTTCAATGGTTAGATGAATTTTTTATGGCCACTCTCCTCTATGAAAAGCTCGTAAGTACCTGTGCAGCATTTTGAGTGTGGTTTCTTTATTACTCCCTCTTAGCATCTTTTATGTGCTTTTGGCAAAGAAAGAAGAATAAAGGGATAAGACATATTTCATGCAACTCTTTCATTTCAGGCACAGTCAGCTAATATCTGCCATGTTTCTAATTGATATTTGTAGTCCTGAGTTTTGCCAATCACAATTTTTTGGCATTTCCAAGCCAACAGAGAATTGCCGTTGAAAACAGGTAAAAGTAAAATTCAGAAAACAAAGCTATTGTTAGCACAGGCACACATCTTCAATCTACTTTATTCTTCAGAGATTGTACGATTTCAGAGTCAGATTCTGCTTTCATTTACCTAAAAGGTGCAGTGGCCTACTTTGTATTTACAACAAAGTCACATTTACACCATTCTGGCTATGTAGGCATGATACAAGTATCACTCAGCATGCACATAAACTGGAAAAATTCTATATCTCCTACTTTCCTTCCACAAAGACCAACCACAATATTCTACTGACCGTAAATGTTTCAAAATTTTTTTTTCTTTTTTTTTTTTTTTTTTTCGGAGAGCTCCAGCAACCCCAGAAAAGGCAGATCAGAGAGTAGAGAAGATAGATTTCTGAATATGGAGAAGCAGGAGGAATTTTTACCTATGTGCATGTGTCATTTCTTTCACTAAATACTAAGCAGTGGCTATATGACACTAGATTGATACAGTTTTAAACCCTGAATTTAATTTAGAGATCAATTTTCATGGTTGTTTTGTTTGTCTGCCTCTGCTGTATGCAACCCTTAGCAAATAACAGCTGTAAGTAGCAAAAGATTCCAGGTAGCTGCATGCAAGTCTGTGTGCATCCCTAAGGACTTCTGATGACACAAACTCTCTACCTTTTAGCATACAACTGCTAAACCAGTTCAAAGGTATATCTGGGACTCAACATAGCTCTTCTGATTATTACATGTAAACTTACTATGGTAACTGTTCAAAAAAGCTTTCCACATATAACACTGAATATGGATCAGAGAGGACTGACCTCTCAGGTAATAAAGCTTATGGTCTATTACTGCACTTTTAAGAATCAGATGTGATTTGTTTTTTAAGTGATTCATCTCCAAAATACAACAAGTTATTATTTCTAATTAGCTTCAACGAGCAATTAACTATTTTATTAACCTCTGCACTCCTTGAAATGGCAGTCTCTGATGGCCCTTCTTATACACAGGGCTTGTAGTGACTCACCAAATTTTTATTTTATGCACTTTTGTGGGCTTAGAATACTTGAAATAGAAACACTTAAATGCTCTTCCTCCCATGTCCCTCTTAAGTTCTTCTCTTGAGGAAAGAATTCTCAAATAGAAATATCTTCTACTCAGTTAATTAGATTCTATATAGGTACATGAAAATACTCTAGAAACAAAGCACACTCCTGGTTTTTGAAGACTTGGACTACAGGTCATAATCCAACTTGGTATTTCTGTAAAGATAGATTCTTTCTGCATTTTCCATTATTTTTTGTTCAGAACAATCTCAAGGGATGTATAATTTTCCGTTGTGTTCTATCTGCACTTCGCTTGAATGATATTCAAAATTCTTCTCCTGGAAGGCACGGGTAATAGGCAACAGAGCTACATTTTTTGCCTCTCTACATGGGCCAACATCTGGAAAAATGGTATTTTTATGGTGCTTGCATTTAATGCCTCCGTGAGCTGAGATTCTTACTATTACTCTCTCTTTGTTGCATAGGTGAGCTGCACTTTAACATGATGATTCCTCATGTAGCAAAAACTTTTAGAATTCACCTCCTGCCTAGTCCAGTAGACTTTTCCAAGTTTCTTTATGCTGGGTCATTACTAAGTATAACCACATACAAGTTTTTGGCTGTATTATAAAAGATCCTCCGAGACAAACCCCAAATCAAATCACTTTCTGACTTTCCCTGCCATAATTCCAAAGAGTCACAAATTATTCTGTCACAAATCTGTATTCAGATTTTCCTGGAGCTCCATTCACATTTGAGAAATATGTTTATTTTCATGAGCTTACCTAAATTCTTTTTTAAAAGCTTTTCTCAGATTTCCTTCTCCTGTCTTCTGTTGCTTTCTGACTTTGAACTCCTTTTTCAGCTTAGCAACTCAATTTTGGAAATATTGATTCAAATGTTTAATTTATTAGTGTAAATAGTCACACTTCAGTAAAACTATTAAATATAAATATGTTCAGGTTTGTAGAATTTTCTGGCATAATGGTATCTTCATAAATGTTTCTATTCAAAGGGAGTGAGTAAAGAGTGATATTCTTTGCTTATGAAAATAATCTTAACCTATTCTAGGATTTCCAGCCCTGCTAAGAAGTTATCAACAGCTTGGAAGATTCTGGTAACAGAAAACAAATCTGAAGTTCTTTTAAAGGATCCTTTTATACCTGTTGGACAGTCAGGAAAAAAAATAGGAATTAAAAAATGCATTTGAAAAATACAGCAAAGTTGGTGAGCTACTGTTGAATTGCTACTAAATCATCCAGCCTGTAGCAAACATGTATTAGATCTAATTTAGACCTAAGAATTCATGAAATAATTTTAATGAGTTAAAATTAGGAAGCCAATGCTATTCAACTCTTGTGCAACAAATAAAACTAAAAGATGGAGACGATTCTGACCAGTTTCGTATGTACCCAGCCAAAAACCATTCCAAGACAATTGCTGTCTTTTTAACTGTAGCATACCTTCAATTTTTCAGACGTGAATGAATTGCACAGAGTGTAGTTGGACCAAGTTCGGTTGCTCTCAGGATGGCGGAACCAGTTTCCAGTTTCATCACAGTATTTTGAAGCTCTTTCTGATGGTAAAGTGCAATAATAATTATTGTGTTAGCTTATTACACATTAAAAATCCTTTAAAGAGAATTACTGTTTAGAAATAGAACTCCTGTGTAACAAAATGCAAAGGACTTTCAATTTGTGTGAATAGTTGAAATACTGCGAATAGTTTCCCTTTTTTTTTTTTTTAGTTAGAGATTTATCTGACACCACACTTGTTATTTATCTGTCTCCTGTTGGTCTTGAATGAATGCAATAGAGTATATATACACAACCTTCACTCAGATGCAATTATTTCCATGTTGATAATTCACTTAAAGAGACTGTTGAAACTTCCTCAAACTGGCACTCCCAGTGAGGTGCCACTATCCCTCCACAGACACTAATAAATCAAGTCTTGTGATAGGGTTCCATGTTTTACAGGGAATAATTGAATTATCAGTTGAAGGTGATGTGTAATGAAAGGGCAGCCAGCAGTACATGAACTGGAGCTCAGGCACTGGTGATGGCAATAGTCCCAATGTCAGCTGTGCATCTGTGAAGACAGCTGGAAGAGTTTGCCAGAACTCTATGCCAGCGGTGGGCAGGATCACTGCTGATTTGCCCCCGAGGTTGCAAACACACAGATTAGCAGGCTCTATGCTTAAATAATCTGATGTGTGTTTGGCTTCTCTATGCAACTCTGTCACAGGTGACTCCGGCACCCCCTGCAGTGCTCACCAGGTCCGTGCTTCGTTGCACGTGTCTTTCTCTTGCAGTAGCAGCACCTTTAGGATATCTCAGGGGGGTGTCTGGAAGCACAAATGTGTGCCATGCAGGCATCCTCCTTGCTGCACCTGCATTTCTGACTCAGAAATCCTGGATGCAGTGATGCAGACAGTCACTTCTAATCACCTGTGAAGTCTTGGACAATTCCTTTGGCTTTCCCCCAAGTGTTAGCCATAGGGGAATCAGTGGAAAACTTGCCCCTGTAACAAAAGTGCTACAATCAGAAGCTTAAGTTATTTGATGTTTTCTTTGATAGTGACACAATTGTTTATTTATGAAATATGCAGCAGTTCAAGTCTGACTTTTTTTGGCAGACTAAGAAGTCTTTCTTGACATCTCTTTTTCTATTGTAGCTTTATGATTTTATTGATCCTTTGCATAGGTTATCAGCATTTCCAGACAATTTACTTTTAAAGAGCCAATTACCATTTGAACAGACACATTTTCATTTCTTGCCTTCAACGTTTGCATTTCTTTTTCTTAGTCAGATCTGATGATTAATGGCTTTAGTAACTTGGAAGATTCATATTCCCTCTTTACACGCTGAGAAAAGCAGTTGATTATACTGGCAAGGTAAGTGTTATGTGAACTGAGCTATGTCTTCCTCTGACTAGACATGCACTTTGTATAGTACTACTGCACAAAGAAGATGATCCTCCAGAACACAGCATACTTTTGAAATTACCATGAGCTTCAAATCATTGTTTTGAGGGACTTGCTGAAAATCAATACGTGCATTAGCAATACAAAGAGGAACAGTACATGCTATCTCAGCCTTCCATCACTGCAGCTTGCAGATAATCTCAGTCTGCCTGTGTAGCAATGTTCTCGTTGTACTCTTTGCCAGATATTATCTAAAGCTGGAAAAAGTGTTCAGTCATAGATAAAAGATTAATGGTTACTCTACCATGGAACACAGTGTACAAACATTGTACCTGCTATCCTATATACTGTGCAAAAATGAGTGGCTTTTGTTAATATACTATAGAGCATGATGGTAATATCATCTATCATCTCTGCACTTCAATGCCTAGGTAGGCACGCTGCCTAAGTTTAATGTGACCTTTATAAGTCAGAAACGAATCTGTTGCTTCATAGTTTTCCTTGAAGCCAGATAAACGCAAGTGATCCTACTTTGCAAGTTGCCACAGCCCACTGATTTCCTGATGTAATGCTGTCAGAAAATGGAACTAGGAGATTAGAATCCCATGATATGGGTTGTGTTATCGGAAGGTACAATTGTGATACACCCACTAAATATGATATGTGTCTTTTCAAAATATTTAATTAAAAAATATTAGTTAGATTGATAAAATGTGTGGGCAAAAGTTTATGATACAAGGGACAGTTTTTCACATTTCTGCTCACTGCTTTTGGTAGATCATAAACAAAGAGGATCAGGTTAGGCACCTAGGCGTCCCTCACCTATGGTGCCCGTGAGATGCAATGCGTTTAGTCAGTGGGACTGGCTGTTGAAGAATTTTCACAGTGTTTGTCTTAATTTGAAATTTCAAGCTTGATATGCGGGCAATTACACTACCTTCATACTGTCCATTCCAGTAACTTAAACTGGTAGAACATATATTCTAAAACTCTGATTTTACGAATAAATAAAGCTCTGAGTATGTAATCCAACCACTGCTCTCTACTGCAAGTTCTTCTCTGAGAGCCTAGTATTAGGTACATGATTGGGAACCTTGGAACATGTTGCATTTCATACTAACCAGCACAATCCGTAGTAAGCTCTGAAAAAGTACTCAAGTGTATAAGGATGAGTAAAACAATATTAGCAAGGGAAAGTGGAAATGTATGCTTTAAGTTGATTGAAATACTCCATAAACACAAATTTTTAGGCTCTATCCGTATGGTGTCAGCTTGGATAGGGTACCACTTGAGTATCATACTATTCAGAACGGAAGAATGGTGGCACTGTGTAGGATTATCTCATCTGACTTTGGCTACCTTAAAGTTAGGCATCTTCTCAAAGGCAGTTGTGCAAACTCTTTGTAGTCAGCTAAAAAGGACAGACACTTCAAGAGCTGTCTGAGAAAACTGGGTGAGAGAATCGTTGCTACAGTGGCAGCTTCACTGGAATAATGAGGTGTCTAAAAAGATTAACTAATAATAATAGTTTTGCATGTGTTACTGCTTGTGCTAGCAATGATGCTTTTATGAATCAAATTCTCATAAAAAGCAACTCAGCAATTTATATGTAACAAATATCTTAATCAATAACAGTGGAATAAACATGAATACTCTATCAAACAGTCCTTTTACAATTAGTTCAACTCTATGGCTAGCAGATGTTAAAAGAGTTTACTCCAGTTTTTGGTTTTTTTTTATTGTGGAGTTATATGCTGGAAGTAGAAAGAAATTTCCCTCTGTTGCAGTGCATGCTCAGCACATACCAGACACTGGATTCTTTGCCACTATTTGGACTGACCTGTACAGTAGTTAGTTTTGCAGATGAGCGAATAGCTGATACTTCTGTAACACATCTGATTTCCTTACCTCCTCAGTAAAATATTCTAGAAGAAAATTTTTCAAAAATGAAAAAATCATCTGAAAAAATACAATGGAAATCCTAGAAAATTCCAGTTCCAGTGTCCTAGTAAGTGGAGAGTTCTCACTGTCATCAAAATGCCTTTTTCTGCAAAACTGGAGTTCTCTGAATAAAGTCAAGTTATGTACTACAGGAATAATAAATGTTTACAGTGTGGCTGCTGAAATGCTAAGCATGACAGAAATACACAGAAGAGCTGGGGACACCTGCCATGGGCTCCAGCATGTTGCCACACCAAGGCACTCTGCTGAGTTGCCAGAAGCCCAGGATGGAGTGGGCAATAAGGGGGGAAGCTGGGGTTGGGAAGCTGCTTAGATTAGGGACGCCTGAGGAATGGCATCCCTGCCTGCATGGAGCCACAGCTGAGATCCAGAGGGTCTCTCTCTCTCACTGCTCTGTGGAAGTGGTTGCTTATCTGCAATGATTAAACGTCTCAGCTTGGCATCCTGCTCTACTGGATGCTCTCAGCATTTTGCCAGCTGTGACAAGGGTATACCTGTGTCCATCAGCCTGATTCCCTGTGGTCAAAAGTGTTATAGTAGCTAAATCCAAAAGGATCAGCAAGAACAAATTAATCTGCTCACCCTTCCCCTGCTTGGGGGACTTGTCCTGATTTCCTTATTTCTTCAGAAATATGTTGTAAGAAAAAACAAAATCTTTCACAAACTGTGCTGGAAGTTTGTGAAGGGCACTAGAAGGGCACTAGAAGAGAGGAAGGAAACTCACTCCTAGATATTCCTTCTCTCAGAGCTACATGAAGAGTTACAAGTAATGGATCTATAAAATGGATCCAAAGTGCAGAACTGAGAGGAACTTTGCTAAAAGCAGCCTCAGATTGTGGACTCAGCTGGGTTGAGCTTCTTCTCCTAACCATTGTATGTTGCCAAGGAGAAAAGGGAGTGAATGCAAAACCAGAAGAGAAGGTAATGCTCTCACAGTGTAACTCATCCATCCAGCTGTGCTGCTGTACATGGCTGCACCAAATTCATCCTGATCACAGGCACAGTGCGGAGGCAGGGAGCTGGGCAAAACACAGTGCCCTGCCTCAGACCAACAGGCTGTGCTCAGCACAGGGCCCCGTCCATCTGACGTGGACTGCCATTGCATCCACAATATATTTCCTTTCTGTTTTATTAGCAAGAGTATTACCTGCATGAATTACATCCTATATATTCCCATCAAATTCTATTCTTTCAATTCTTATAAATTTCAGTGTGACCTGAAGACATTTAATAGGGATTACACCAGAGATTAACCTGCGTAAAATATGGGTATAGATATATATTCAGGGGAAAATGTGTATGATGTCTGACTCAGGAGTACAAAATCCAGCACTGTTCAGTACTTCAGTCAGGAGCAGATGAGACAATAAATGTCCTGCTGGCACACGAGTTAAACCAGTAGGTCTCTGTATGCTGAAACGATTTGTTTTTGTGCATTACCACATTGCATGTGCTGGTCAGTGTGAGAAAGACTGCTGTAAAAGGCAATTTGTTTACTGAAGAAATAAATAGCTCGTAGAGAGGAATTTACATTCATTAGCTTTAAGATGCATCCTTTTCACAGGACAGAGCTTCGTCAGGTGGGAAAAGAAATGTAGGAAACCCTAGTTAGTGGAGCACAAAACCTGCCTATACAGGTGCTTGTCATGCTGGATTATCACTGTGGTCCTTTCTCTTCTCAAAACACAGATTTCTATCTAGTATGAGCTGACATATATTCAGTGAAATAAGTGGAATTACATTTGGTTGAATTAGTGGTAAAGTTATCAGGCAAAATGAACTGAGCACTGAGCATGTTGAAGCTCTTTCCTTGTCATTCTGATTCTGTCATTTTCTCCAGATTATTATTTCTCCTGATTTATACCCTCTAACAACTTCTCAGCTCCAATACTGAATGCTGTTGGGGTTCAGGTACAACGAGCTCTTATGCAGCACTCAGGTGCAGACAGGAGGAAGATGTGATCCTATGTTACTAGATAATTGACTTTTTCAGTTACAAATGACATGCATCAAAGCACAAAAAGAAAGCTGAATGCTACCATTTTATTCCAGGACTCAAAGCTATGCATGGCCCCATACAGAAGTAGACACTGGGGAGTTAACAGACAGCAGTTCCGCGTATCAGGACATCACTAAGTGGCACGACGGGAAATACTTCTTTCAGAAGCCCATGGGCTTACTACTTGCATGCCTCAAATATATGCTGAGGTGGTCTGACGCCACAGAGCCTTAATGAGAAGGAAGTCTGACAGGCACTGCGGTTTTCATCTTATAAAATCACTGTTCTTTGGGATGAATTTTCTGTTTCTCAGCAGAAAATTTAGCCATACCCAACAGACATAAGGTTACCGAACACAGTAATGAATTGTGACACGAACTTGGTAGGCTTTTCTCAGGACAGCTGAACCTGTGGTTTTGGCCACCTCTGAGTGGCAGCCAGTTCCATTAGCAACTGAAAGATTTCCTCTCCCTCCCGCAGCTTCTTGTCTTCCTCCTACTTTGTTAAGGTCCTGCATGACAAGCACCTGTATAGGCAGGTTTTGTGCTGGCTTTACACTGCAGCTGTAGTACACAAGGGGTACCCAGCACACATTATAGGAAAGCAGCTCTGGCTGCACCAGGGGATGCAGAGATGCCTCAGAAGCACAGAAATGCTGCCAGGCAGTGGGGACATCAGCCTAGAGGCAGGTGGATGCGCCACCTGGGAGCAGAGGGACGTGCCAAGGGAAAATGCTGACTCTGGGGGACTGTATGTATTGCTCCTGCACAGGAATGCAGATAGATCAGCAGGAAATTGTTGAAGGAGGATTCTTGTCCTCTGTGGCTTTGTACAGATAACAGAAACACTAAAAAAATCCTCAAACCTGCAAGCTTTTAAGCACAGCGGAAGGAAAAACTGGAGTACACACAGCGTGGGCCAGGCTCTGCAGCACACAGTGGTACCTTAAGGAGCCCTTTGCAATCAGTCCAACGAGTCACAGTCCTCAACTTTAATAGACATTAATAAGCAGAGAGAGGTGCTTCAAGGATGGCTTGAAGTGCTACTCTGAAGAGTGCCGGTGGAATTGAGTGATTAGTGCAGAACAAGTTGCTGGAGACAGGCAGGCAAAAATCTGGGAAAAGGTGATTTGTGCAGCAGCTGGAGGGTTGGGTCCATAAGCAGCCCTGCTCATGATGAGATGGGGACCTGGGAGTAGTGGGAAGCTGTTGTACTGTCCCCGACCTGCTTTTACAGGAACATATGGACTATTCATAAATCAGGATGGTTAGTGTCTTTTTTTTCCCCTGTGAAAAATACAGAATTGGGGAAAGCAGAGAACTTGTGGTAAATTGTTCTATTCATCAGAGGGACTGGTAGCTATTTGGGGATGATACCATGAACCAAATGCAGGCAGAAACAGAAGATTTCTTGGCATTTCTGCAGTGAATGTAGAAAAAAGCACATGCGACCTCAGGATCTTGAGCCTTCAGCTCTCACCTGCACAAACACTTTTGGGACTTGTGGTTACAGCTGACTGAGGATATTGGGGCATCAATGATAATAAACATTAAGTCCTGAAAGCTGAACACACAGCATCTCTGTCTTCCCTCAAACAATACCCTTTGTGGAGTTTTATTTGCATCCAATTTTCTTCATAACTATTCAGCAAAATCTCTGTCCTTGATTTTTTCCCTTTTATTTATCTTTTTAAGCATTCTTGTTTTTCTTCTCTTTGCCCACAGAGGTGCTAGCATTTCTATGAAGAATTCAGTGAACAACTGGAACTTTGAAAGAATATAACTTCTGCTCATCTTCTTCCAAAAAATATTTTCCAATAAAACCAGAAGATTCTGATAGATATTTCATGCATATGAGTACTTTTATACTTTTCCCCTTGATAGAAAAATCTAGAATAAGGTATTAAAATCTGTTGATATCATAACTTAGTTGTTAATATTTCCATATTTTCATTAAAAAGGTCCCATAAGTGCAGCAGTTATGTTTACGTCAATATAGCACATGAAGTATTATACAAATGAAAATACATAAGTTAGGCAACTCGAGGACTTTACATTATTTTCATTTCAGCCAAACTCTGAGATTTCATGCTTCCATTCAAGGACGTGAATATTTCTTTGAAAGACAAGACAATAAAATTAAGTACCGTACCAGTTGGGTCAAAGTCTGGAAAATAATCTGGGCAGTTCTGAGCAGTGATTCTGCCAGCAGGTGTGTCATCCCAGCACAGCCAGCCATCCCATGTTCGGTTGCAGAACAGACCTGGATGTTGAAGAGGAATTCAGTAGTCAATTCAGCAGTCACTCCTGAGCCCATTCTGTTCTGGCCTCCCAAGGAATATTGCTATCTGCAGACTATAGATACACATACACCACCATACACACATACATATATGTTTTTGAACTCCTGTAACAATTCAGACAGTCAAAGTAATAAACCATAAAAGGCAGATGTGAACAACATGTTTCTGAACCACTGACCAGAACAATTACATTTTTGGGGGAGTGTAGAAACACTGTACAGGACTGTCGGGCACCCCCATGTGCTTGATCTGTACATTTCATTACTCCACTGTGGTTTAAACTAATTAATTCTACCTTGAAATAGGCAGGTATACCCAGTAGATGCCTTGAGCTCATATCTTGGGCTTTTCTTCTCAGGAAGAAAAGTTGTCCTTTGCACTAGGGGAATTAACCATCTCATACCATCTTCCCTTTCAAATTAGCAGCTAAGAGATCTAGGCACTTGCTCACTTCCATCTGTTTATGAAATATATTTAATATTTATGAAATATACATGTTGGAGGACTGATGAGGATCCTGTAATTGAGTTGTGACTCAGAGAAACAAGTCCACAGTGAAAAACACAACTTCAGTAGTGTTGGCCTTTTTCCCTGTTCACTTATTATCTTCAGTCTGAGTTACAAAAGCATTAAATGCACGTTGCTATGAACACAACACTCCCCAGTGGCTCCACTGAAACCCAGCTGTCAGCTGAAGGAGCGCAGGAACTGCTGAGCTGTGTCAGATGGCTGCTGCTCTGCTGCTGCTGTCCTCCTGGGACAGCCCTGCCCTGGAGAAACCACCAGGATGACATCGTATGAAACAAGAATCACTTCATGCTGGGCAAACACTTCAGCCCTTTGCAACAAATTACTTGTGCAAGGGGTAAAAAATTAAAAAAAAAGAAAAAGAAAAAGAAAAAAAAAGAAAGGGAATAGATTAGAACTATCAATTAATGCAAAAATTACATATTTATAGAACTGGAGACTAAACGAGTAATGCGTGCAGAGAATAGCACAGCAACTAAAGGCTTGTTTATGTCTGAAACATGACAGTTTTTATTGCTCCTTTTAAATACTTGCATGTTGGTTTTTTGTTTGTTTGTTTGTTTGTTTCTCCCATTATTGGCCTAAGTGAAAACTTATTTGAATCAGAGTTCTACATTGTACATTCCTACATTCATTCCAAAACAATTCTGCATCAAGGCCTGAGTATCTTAAAATCTAGTCACTGACTCTTACAGACATTTATAAAATCTGATGAAGAGTTACAGAAATGCCTTTGTTCTTATACTGAAGAAAACCTCACCAACATATTACCTGCACCTCATTTACTGTGTTGTTTGATTTTTCTGTCTAATATAACATCTCTTAAACAGTGCCCCCAGTCCCTGTGTTCTTAGGGACATGGGCTAGTGGGCAGTGTGGTGATGGGTCAACAGTCTATCTCAGGGGTCTTTTCCAACCTTAATGATTCTATGATTCTACGACTTTATGATTCTTTACTTGCACAAATTGCCACTATGCCTCAAGTATTTTTTCTTTAGCTTCCTTGTAGCTTCTTCCTTATTTTCTATTAAAAAAATGACCAGAAGAGAACCCTCAGTCCCAGCCTGAAAGGCTTCTTCATTCATTGCATGCCATTGTTGCACCGCTACTATTTGTCTTTTTTTTTTTCCTTTTTATTAATTTTAACACGTGCCTCCTATTCAGTAATGATCTGTCCTCAATGCTTTATAAACCTCTTTTTACTAGTTTACTGTTGAATATGGAAGACCAGGAACACTTGTGTTGATAGAGAGCATTACAGTTCTCAGTTAATTCAGGACAGACAGAAAAGCAAATGAGCAAAGCAAGACTGGCATTTATATTTAAGATATTACTGTTTGCAGTCACATCTTTGTGTAATAGTACCAAAAAGTACTGCACTGACAGTTCTGGAAAACTTAACTACCTAAGGAAGACAACAGAAATTCAAGCAGCAAAGCCCTGAGCCACCAATGCACTTCACCTACATGACACAGGTACCATCTGCATGGGAAGGGAGGAAAAGCTGCTCATTCCCTGGGCTCACTCTAGCCTTTCTTCTTTCTTAGCATCTCAGAGGACAGTAAGTTAGTGTGAATCTGACTGCTGCTTGCTGGAAAGCAGCTGCATCCCAAGGAAAAATATAGGTTAGTATAGAGAACAAAATGCTTCTTTGTAGTGATATACACAAACATGGTAATATACAAACAGAACTTTTGTACCTACTTTACCTTTTTTCCTATATGGAGGAGCTCTGTTCATTCTCTCATAGCATTTGAACTGCGAATCTATTATCTTCTGTCGTATGACTGAATTTTCAGTTACTACAGGCTCTAATGTAGGATCAGTATAATTTACAGTAGCAGTAAGACTTGGAACCATTCTCTGTACAGAAAGGAAAAACTGTTAGTAACACTGAATAAATCAGTAAGATAAAAATTACAAAAGGTCAGAAATCTTCATTACACATTCCTCAAAGGACTTTTATTTGCATATTTTGCATTATGATAGACCTTATAGTACTTTCAAAGTAAATGCTGAATTTCAACTAAGTTTATTTCACTATAAACTCAGGATTTTAACCAAGCCCTTTTTCCTGGCAAAAGAAAGAATCATTAAATACTTGATAAAGTCTTTAAAATCTTTCCATTTAGATCAGTGATCTGCAAAAAAAAAATTGTATGTATCTGCACAATGTTACACCCATGTACTTCTTCCCACTTGTGCTGATTTCTTTCTAGATTACCCAGTCAGTACCACAGGCTGGAAACCTTATTTTTTTCATGTTTTCTGCTTTCTGCTTTGAGCTTCTTCAACTTTTAGGGCCAGGGCAAAGGGTTTAAACCTCACAACCTGAGCTTAGTTCTCAATTAAGTGCCTAAACAAAGTACCCACAAATCTAAGAGTCTGAATGAAAAGTCCTCTTTGATCAAGTGGCCTCTTGTGAAGGATTCCACTCGGAGCTGCCTGAAGGGCACACAGAAGGACCACTGCCTATGCAAGGCCAAGAGCTCAGGCAGAAAGGTCAGTTGTTCTCTTTCCACCCACCCCTCTGCTGCACAGGCCAGGTCTGCAAGTCAGGGTGGAAATGAGTGTGTGGAGCTCTAGTTAAAGCTTTTTTTGCCTTAATTTTGTATCAGGACACTTCTCTGTGGGAAGGTGATAGGAAAGGGTTATTTCTTCTGATTCCCCAAGCAAAAGCAATGCGGCTGTGGCACTTTTTTGCATGACTCTCTACTTTTTTTTACCTGCAAAGCTATACTTGAGCCGTTGCAAGTACATACAGAGTTATTTAAAGTCTCTTTCAAAACTGAGAACTCCCATAAGCACACAGCCTTGAAGTTCTTGGGGATCTTTCTTATTCAAAGCCTGCATTTCTCTAGACAAGCCATACAGGTAATGTTACTAACATTAGTACTTTTAACAGTATTTTCTCCATAGTAAAGAGTAAGTTTAGGACTTTTAGGAGCATGCTTCAGATTATATTGATCACCTCCCATGCACATTTGAGCCTATGAGATTCACATTAACACCAAATGCTAGTACACAGATTGTTAAGCAGGCATTTAGAGCTGTACAATCAAAAAACATGACAGGTTTGAAAGTTCAAATATGAAGTGAATTCTTAAATTACTCTTTCCCTTTTTTCTTACTGCACATTGCAAACAGCTGTATCTCATTAACACTTTGCTTTCTTTTCCATTTGCACAGACAAAGCGGTTCATTAAAATACATAGCAAAACAGAGTATGTTTGACGTAGGTGAAAATATGTCATTACTTTATGTAGATATGTCTGTGCTGAAACATCTCAGTTTCATCTTTTTATATGATCTTCTTCTATCTAACAAATTTTTCCTAATTTAATTGCTTTTTCCCAATTTAATCTAATCCTTTTTCATGCTGACATTTTATTTTTGTACTTCATATAGCTACTATCTGAAGACTGAAGACACTGAAGGCACTTAATCTCACTGCATGTAACATGAAAGTTGAAATAAAATGACAGAAAGAAGATGGAAGATATTTTTGGTAGATATAACTCTATATAAATTTTGTGTGTAAATATATATATATATACATGTGTGAATAGATATGCTTGGACAGTGAAGGCATTTGGAACATTTCATCTGGCCACTTAAGTGAAAAAATTAAGCTTCTAAAAGGCCAGAATAGAAAATACAGAAGCAAAGCCCAATATATTTGGGTTTCCTCCTTTATGAAAAGATTAAAGGAGTAGATGGTGTCCAAGGGGATCACTTAAAAAGCAATCCATCAATGTTGCAGATCCAGCAAGACTCACAGGAAAAAAAACAGATGAAGCTTTCCAGAGCTCTTCAGGTCTGTTTTTGCCCTTCCTGTCTGTGTATCACCATAGGCTTCAGTGCTTCCCTGAAGTGATTCACAGAAACTCCAGATTTATTTTTTCCCCATTCTTATTTTGAATAATACCTCAGTTCCAAGCTGTTTGCATTTGAGAGAGGAACAGCAGAGTCAAAGACAAGCTGGGGGTTCCCATGTCACTGCCTCTGCTCTCCACAATTCCTCTGTCACTGGGGACCAATCTGGGAAGGCACTCATGTTTTGAAAGCATAACCATCTGATAATGCTTGGAAACCATCACTGATTTTCTTTCACTTGAAACAGTGTTTTTATTTGATTTCTGTTTTCTTTTTGGATGGAGATGGTCTGTTCTTCAGCTCGTTTGACCAAACAAGACCAATTCATACTAACAATACAACCAGAAAACTGAAGTTGCAGGTCATAAATTGCAGTTTCTTTTGCTTTATCTGTACAGAGTAAAGCACAACACAACTGTATGATAATTGGCAAATGCCAGCTACACAGACAGAAACTGTAAATACTTTTTAAGTGCACTGAAACATCTTTCCCTTCTTTTAAGTTGTTTTGGTTCATTATTATCCACCATTCTTGAAAGGACAGACTTTTCCCAAGATTGCACAATACAAAAACATATAAACTGAAATCAAAAGTAAGAAATACCATCAGAAAAGAAATGCTCCATTCTTGTCTTTTAACTGGTGAAGATGTAATAGTTTGTAACCAGGGTGGAAATTTTTGGGGAAGAGATACAAGAGAGCAAAAAATTCCTTCTCCGCAAAGTCAGTTTCATAATTTGCTGCATGTAAGGGACGAATCTACTTCCTGAAGTAGACAGCTCTTATTAGGTATTCTCATTATAATGAGAATAATATTTGGAAGCAGAGAGTTCCTGTGCTGGTAGATAGGATGAATGTTTTGGATTGTGTGCTAAATTATTTAAAGTGCTCAAACATGTAACCGTTCTGCTACCTTTGAGCAAGGCAATCATGTTACAGTTGAAATTGTGAGAAAAATTCCTATTACCCACATTTGGTCCAGGAATTCACTTAGAGAGATTAAAAAGATTGATGAGAATGTGTCACAAAAGCTCAATGAAAATAATTACTTCATCAGGGGAAATAATTTAATGGCCAGCAGTAAAAATAAAGCAACATTGGATAAAGACTGGAATATTAATATTAGGTTATATCAGTCTCTTACATTTATCTCATTTTTTACTTAGGAAATCTGAAGAATCAGATTTTGAGTTAGTCACACACACATTTCGAGGCACCTTTGATGTAATTGTAAAAGCTTGAGTATGAAATCAAATTACAGGGTTATGCGTAGGTGTGTTACTGGTATTGTTCATCTGGGATGTGCCTAAAATATACTCTTCCATTTGATTACTCATTTCTTTTTGCCCGGATTTGAAAAGCCAGCCATGGAATTTTGAACAATATTTTATTCTGCCTTGAAACAAATGATCATTTCAGCTGACTAACAACAAATAAATCTGATGGCTTGAAAGAGGGTGAGCAATTAAACCTCTGTTTACTACCACACACAAAAGAATTGTGCATCCACCAACATTCTGGTATGTGGAGCCTAGAGCCTGCTCACCCCAAAGCCATGGGCAGAACTCCCACTCAGTTTAATGGGATGGTGATCCAGTCACATACTGGGGATCAATCATACAAAGATCTTACCACAGTTCTGATGTTGGATATTATTATTAATTTATTCTTTCTGCGCTCCTTACCTTTAGGATGAGGAAAAGGCAAATGAGCAGAAAGAAATCTGTGGGTCACTATGCTGTTATCAAAGGTAGAAGAGGCCTGGGCATGGCTACCTGTGGGGAAAGCTTCACCTGAATAGTGCCTATGGTATGGAATAAATGTTGAATGTTTGGAGTCCATTACTGCAAGTTAAAAACCCTTCCTATCTATCCATCAGTTCTTCAGATGGAAGCATAAATGATGTTGATACAATAAAGGAATGGCTCATCCATTTACAAATATTCTTTATTAAAGAGAAATCAGTGTTTCACAACTTAATAAGCAGGATGTGTTGACAGCCTGAAAATGATTGTTTATGATTTCTTCAGAAGAAAAATGCTTAAGTGATGTCCCATGCAGCAGTTTAGCAGCCGTACATATGATGTCACTCCTAAAAGTCCAAGTAAATGACGTCATACATACGACCACCAAGCCACCACGTGACAAATGACTGTTATAAAAAAATGAATTATCATAACAAAGAAAAAGAACAGGCTGCTGGAAATGCTGAAGTTCACTTTAAACCTAGAATAGACAAAGTAATCTAGAGAAACAACTTGGATTCGTTATTAAACTATATAAAGATTAGTAAATAGTGCACCAGTTTCTGTAAGACAGACACCTGCTATTAACCTCTGTAAGATTGTGCCTATTTCTGAAAGACAAAATCCATATAAAGCAAGTATAAAATTCACCTTTTTTCCACAAAATATTGGATGTGATGAACAGGCATTCCCAAATATTTTTCTTCCACCATCAAGGAGCTAGACTAAACATGACATTTGAAAATAAAGTATTTGCAGCTTTCTTTCCTTTTGATTTTCCCCCTTCCATTAAATACAGCAATTTTGCAAATTTACTGTTGAGCTCAGTCAAAATGTATTTCAGAATCTGGATGCTACAACTGCTTATTATTGATTTTGATAGCTCAAAAATACACTTGATGCATTTCTTTTAAAACTGCTCAGTTTAGTCACCACTTAGTGGGTGACTTAACTCTTGTTCTTTGATACACCACATCTTCAAGCAAGAGCTCAGCATGACTCAGCCTCATTGCAGAACCCCTGTTGTATCTTGATTGTGTTTGAGAGACTTTTCACAGCTACCAGTGTCAGAACAGAGAAGAAAACCACTGTGATGCCTTGGGAAGGTCATTAACAGAAGGTACTCAGTAAACATAACAATGATTTCTTATTCATTACAAAGGTACTTAGAAACAGCAGACAACAACTTCTTGGGGGAAATACCTCAACATGACATGTTTTACTGAACCACTGAATGTT